CAGTTCAACTCCTCCCGTTTTCCCAGCCTCTCCTGCTGCATCTGCTCAAGCTCTGAGTGTTGCTGGGATTGCGTATCCACTTCTGACCCTGTCTGTGCATGGCCCTGCGTCTAGCCCCAGGGCAGCTCATCTCCCCACCCAAGGCCCCCAGGCCTCGGTATTTTACAGCAGGATGAGATCTGTTTGAGGCCACCCTGCCCTTCTGCAGGGCTGGGGCAAAGGGGCTCCACAGGCCGCCTCAGCCACCCCATCTCTAGGGTGGCCTGCCTGTGGTGCACTAGCAGCCTTTCTATACTTGAAGGTAGTCCAGGTCTTTGCAGTGGTTCTGTTTTCTTTCCTACTAAACTGAGGCCCTCCAGGGCAGGCACATGCCCCTCCCAACATGTCCAGGCCACAGATACCTGCGGCTGTGTCCAGTTTGCAAATCTTTGAGCACACCCGCTTCAGCACCTCTGAGCCCACCTGCATCCTGAGTTTCAGTTTGAGGGGCCAGAATGGGGAGGGAAGGTGATTTGGAAAGATTTGAGGAGAGAAGAGATTTATAAGCTGGGGCTGTCTAGGTTTGGCCCAGGTGTGTGCCCCTCTTCACCACTCCACTCTGTAGTTTTTCTGTGGCAGGGGATGTGGTCACAGGCCCCGCAGAAGTGCGGAGGGCAGAGCTGACGCTAGCTGAGTTGGGAAACAGGCACGCTCATGGATTTGTGGGTTTGTAGTCCTAGGAGAGACTTCCGCCAAGGAAACAGGACCAGGGCTAGGGCTCAGAGAGGCGAGAGGAGGGGTGGCCTGGGCAGGGGAGGACTGGGAAGGGGGAGGAAGGAGGCTGCAGGCAGCTGGGTGTGGCCCTGTGCTGGTCAGAAGCTAGCAGTGAGCATCAGGTGGGGGCTGAAGCTTGCTTTAGAGATGAGCAGGAGCACTGATCCTTTCTCTCCAGCTTGTGAAGAGGTAAAAATCCCCCAGGAGCAGGGGCAGTGGAGGGGAGGACTGTCTAAGGGCACACTGCCTCAGCTGGCAGGGCAGAGGTGCAGAGGCAGGACCAGAGGCTTGCCAATGGGGAGATGGTAGGGAAGCTGGCACCACTGGCAGAAGAGGAGCAGGTAGGGGGTATACTTTTAAGAGACTCCTGATTAAAGCTATGAGGACAGGGGACCTGGGTTTGAGTCCTTTTTCTGTCCCTTACCAGCTAGTGTAGTCTAGGTTAGTTAAGTACTCCGGGCCTCAGTTTTTTATCTACAAAAATGGAAACAGTAGTGCAGTGCTTGACACACAGGAGTTTCTCAAGTCGAAGGAATGAGAGGTACAGAGCAGCAGCACCAGGAGCTCGCATTGGGGTGTGAATGCCCTGGGCAGACATGCAGGTGCAGGACAGGTGAAATGTGGGACAGATGAGGTTTCTAGCCTGGACTGTGAGGAGCCTGGCAGCCTCCCCTCTCAGGAGCCCCTCCACCTGCCCTGGTCCTTCCAGCTGGCCCAAGCTGGGGCATGCAGGAAAGGCCTCTCTGTTGGGCCTGAGGAGGTGCTGGAGAGTACTATGGGTACATGAGGTTGGTGGGGGTGCCAGGGTAGCCACAAGGAGTTGAGCATGCCTTAGGAGGGAAATTGGTATTTGGGCTCAGGGGAGGAGCTGGACAGCAGAAGGTTCCAGGCCCAGCAAAAGCTGCTGGGATCAAGGTGAGAGAATGAGAACCAGGTGGGAACAGGTAAAAGCCCCAGACCCCATAAGCAATTCCTGCTGGGTCCTCAGGCCTCCCTTGGAATACAGGGGCTGGGCTGGCTCTGCCACACAGTGCAGTGGAGGAAATTTCTCAGGTAAGATGAGGACTGTAGCTGCATTCTCACAGACATGTGACAGGTCTTTCTCTGTTGCCTCCCCAGGACGACCCCTCCAGCGAAGGTGTCCTGCCCTCGGCCCGCGGACCAGCCGCCTTCCTTCCTTTCCTCACTGTGGACCTGCCCGTCTATATCCTTCAGGTCTGGATGCCTTGCTGCCCTTTGTTTTTCTTACTAAGACTCGCAGAGCCATCTTCTGGAAGGCTGGCTTCACAGCTGCAGGCTGGTCACAGAGGCTGGCTGGCTGGCTGGGGAGGCTCAGTGGGTTGGTTGTTAGGATGTCTTGCTGCCTTCTGGAGAAGGTGGGTGAGTGGAGCTCAGATCTGCAGGATGCAGCAGCTCCTGCTGGTGAACAAAGCGGGAGAAGTTAATATACGCTTGAAACATGTTGTGCCTAGGAATATCAGTTACTTCTCTGGAGGAGGGCTGGCCAGGGCCCAGCCTGTGGGAGAGTAGACCTGGACGAATTCAGTAGTTTATGTGGTTAAGGATAGGTGGCAATGGATGATTCAGAGTTGGATATGAAATAATGAAAGTGTATAGCTTATCATATTTCTAACAGTTTGGCTTCTGTTACACTCACTCATCCATGCAAATTGTGTTTTAGTTTTTTTTTTTTGCATTGAAATTGGGCTACTCAGCATTTGCCTTGCAATCAAAACCAAACTTGGACAGAAGTGTTGGTGGGAGCAGAGGGCCGGGCACCCAGGCTGCAGAGGGGTGAGCTGGAGGGCGGTTTGGATGGATAGATCAGAGAACTTCAGAAGTGTGTGCTCCATTCTGCCTGGTAGCCTCCTCCTGGGACTGCTCCTAAAGAAATAAGGTAGTGAAAATAATCACTGCAGCCTGGAGTCAAATGATGCAACAGCAGGAACACTTCTTCCAGCAGGAGGAGATGGGCTAGATGGGGCTGCCATAACCCTGGGCCACGTAGTGGTCAGCTGTGAGGGCGAAGGTGGACACCTAACACCTGGGAGCGTGCTTACCACATGAGAAGTAGGGAGAAAGGGTTGCAGAATTAAAGATGATTTTGTGTAAAAAAAGGCACATGGTGTGTGAACATGTGAGGGTATATGTCAGTGTGCAGACAGAACAATTCGGAAAAATTTATAGTACAGTAATGAGTTCATTTTTCCATCAAAGAACATGTGTTTAGAATAAGGGGAGCCTGTAGTTTTGATTAAGAGAAGTCAGGTATCTTGCCATGGGCCTGATCAGTTGCCTGCTGTGTGGAGCCGCAGGATCCCTCTGCCTCCACTCCCTCCTCATGATATTGTTTGGTTTTGCAGGAGGTGGTCCCTGCATCTGGAGGCTCTGCTGGTCCAGAGGCCGCTCAGTTCCCAGGAAGCACTATCAACCTGCAGGACCTGCAGTGATGGCAGCCCCGGCCTGGGCAGGCCCAAGGCCACAATCTAGGACACGCCTTCCCTGAGACTCAGATGGCATGGGCCTGGGGAGACCCCACTTGATTTCCATTCAGAAGACCAGCGTAGCCCTCTTGAGACTTTGGGTACATTTATCAAAAATGTTTTCCTTTTGTTTTACCAGGAATGAGTTTGGGCTGTATTCTTTGAAACTGCCTTTGTGAGCAAAGTGCTTTGGTGAGGCAAGGATCTCCCTCGGCAGGGCTGGGTGCACTACAGCCCCTTTCCCCATGTCCCATTGGATCTGAGCTGTGTAGCACTTGTTGCATTACAAAGAAAAAGGCTCCTGCAGGAAATAGGGTAGAGAACAGACTCTCTAGTCAGATGCACCTTGAACTATGGCAAAACCAAGTGAGGTGTTTCAGCTTCAGTGTGTGAGCATCCCAGCACCGGGGATGGGGTTTTGCCACACTGTAGGATCCAGGTGGTCCCATTGCCACAGTGAAGCCAAATTGTAGCCCAAGTCTTGGCAGGGCAGTCAGGCAGCTAGTTTCGGGAGAAGAATGATGGAGTGGGACAGGGGACCTCAGTGGCCTATTACGGAGCCCTCTTCCTAGACTAAATTCATAACTGAGAGCTCGGGGATGGTAGAGTTAAAATTTAAAATAATTTTCTAAATTCTCTATTTGGCTTTTCATGTTTAAATGGTTATTTGACAACAGTTTATAAAGCGATGTTCTGAATACCACAGATTATGTGTAGGACTGTGATGATTGGTGTATGTGTTTTATTGTTGAGGGTGATGTGCACATCATATGTCAGTGTGTATTTTTGGAGTAAGATCTGTCTTGCAAAAGAAGACAAGCTGATCACCTTGCCCATGTTTATTTGTAAGTTAACAGACTAGACACAGGGTCATTCCTAAGTGATTTTTTTTTTTTTTTTCCGCCTTGGGCCTTTTGAAGTGTGTGTTCATTCAGAGGCCGTTTTGGTTCTCAGACTGAATCAAACTGCCCTGTGTTTGTTTCTTGGATTTGGGGGTGACACCAAATTTGAGTGAGTACCCCGTCTTGTCCCACTCTGAGGTGCTGTCCCAGGTGCTGTTGCACATGGAAGAATCCACACCCCATCTGCAAATTGGTCTTCTTCACAGACCTGTGCTCTGTCACCAACTAAAGGCGAGGCCAGAACTTTCCCACCCTGGCAGGGTCTTTAGCCCCAAGGTGGCCCAGAGTCATCCTCCCTCCAGGCTTTTGGCCATGGGTGTCGGGGGTGGAGCTGCACCCATCTAATCTCCATCGGGGTACAGGGTGTGTGCCCCCAGGAATGCCCTTTGGGCCTCTGCTTTTCTCCCATGCACCTCCCTGGGAATACCACCACCAGAGTGACTGGGACTGGCACCTGGTATTCTGGGCACTGAGGTTCCCTGCTGGTGACAGGCCCAACTCCTAGTGCAAATGAATGAAAGTTGTTGTGTAGTCATGCACTAAAGGCTTTTTTTTTTTTTACCTTGGCTTGATTCGAGTAGCTGCATATATGGCGTTCAGCCTGTTGTTTCTCCTTCAGTTGGTAGCTCTGGCCCTACCTTATGCCCGGCTGCCTGCTTGTGTTCCTTTGGTCATTTGCACAGAGGCTGATCTCACACTACACCCAGCGTGGAATCAGCTTTTGCTTCGCAGAGCAGCTGTTTTAGATGAGGACGAAGGTTTCACGCTCCTGCCCTCAAGCATCTGCTTAGGGCTAAGTGATGAATAGGGGGATGCTGAGATTTGGCAAAAGTGGCTGCTTCCTTAAACAGGCCTTCAAGACTCCAAAAAGACATGAATTTATTCAGGTGAAGAGGAGAGCACACAGGAGATGGAGAGGGCTTCGTTGGGCCACTCAAGACCCAGCCCAGTCTTTGCCTCCACTGCCAACATCTTTGCTAAGCCTTCAGCCAGAACAGCTGTGGTTTGTGAAGATTAAGTAAAGAAAAATAGCAGCTCCTCCTTCTCCTTGTCCATCAGCATGTGCTCAGACTCTTGTTTGATCTTGTGGGCCGGGGGTCGTGAACGGCATACCAGTGTCCTGCCTCTCTGCAGGGGAAACAAGCCCAGTGAGCCTCGATGCTCAGAGGCATGTATGCCCACACACCCCTGCCCCTGGCACAGGGAGAGACCCAGCAGCTCCAGTCAGCTCCAGACCACTCTGGTCAGCCCTGCAGGCTGAGGGCTAGAGTTAACTCTGAAATGACTAGGGGTGTGAGTCTCCCCGGCATTAAGCAAACCTGGTCCCAGGAACACCACCTCTTAGCTCTGCATGCCGGGGGACCTGCTTCCTGTTGCCAGGGTCAGAGAGCAGGAAGGGTGGAGGCCTTGGGACACAACAGTAGGGGGACCCCAGTGACAGGTAGTGAGCAGGGCTTGGGGTCTGGCCAGAGTGTGGTTAGGGTGGTGGGACCTTGCTCCTGAGCAGAGTGTACCTGATTGGGTGGGGGGTGGGCATGGCTGAACCAGTCTCAGCCCACCATGGGCCATGGGCTGGCAGCTTGGAGAACGGACCCACAGGAAGCAGGTCCTGGGAGAGGCCTTGGTTTTAAAGAAGACTGTCTCGCTCAGAGCCTCGGTGATTGCCTTCAGAGTGGGGGCATTAGGGGCTTGGGCTACAGGACCTTAGCTGCCAGGCTGTCTTGGGACCCCCTCCAGCAGAGACCCCCCCCAGGTGACCTGCCTACCTTCTTCTTGATCTCAGCCTGGGCACGTGCCTGGGCCCGCTGCAGACGCTCCTCCTGCAGGATCTTTTGCATCTGGAGCTTCTCTTCTCGAAGTCTGGGCAGCAAGAGATAACACTGAAAACTTGTCGGGGAGCGCTGGGAGGTGTTGTGTAATTTCCTCATGGAGTCCCCAGGTCAGGCTGTGAGGACTGAAAACTCCCAGCTGCTCTTCACCTCTCTTGCCAGGTCAAGGCCTCAATATCTATCCATAGTCAAAGCACCACTGCTGTGGCTACGGTGGCCTAGGCGCAGAGGATAGCCAAGGCCCTGGCTCTGGCGTCCTGCAAGGGCTGATCTAAGGTTCATCCAGCAGACCCCTCCCAGAGGCTTGTTTCCCTGAATCTACACCTACGGCCTGATCTGTGCATCTTTGGCCTCCCTTGCCACCATGAAGGTCCAGCATCTCCCTGGGGCAAGAGTCCTGTCCTTCCTTTGTGTACTCCCAGTCATCAAAGCCTGGCCTAGTGCCCATTCTAAGCAGGGTACCAGGAACCCAGAGGAGAAGCCCCTGTGCTTGTGGGGGATGGATGTGTGTTTGCAGATTGCCCTGTCTCATGACCCTCCACAGGGTGGATGAACCAGGCCGCCCACAGGTCAGGGAAGCCACAGCCCCCATCTACCTTGGGTCCAGGCTGGTGTCCTGACATGGCAAGCTGGTGCCCATGTGCCCCCTCCACTCCCCTCTGAGCTGAAGTTCCCAGGGCTCCCTGAGTCTCTGCACCCTATCTTCTGCTCTGGCAACACTGCTGCAGCTGTGCCTTCTTTCCCAGGTGCTGGCAGCTGCCCTCCCCCTCAGCCTCCCACCCCTCCAGTCCAGCTCCAGAAGGAAGAATCTAACCACACCTTACCTGGCTGCGTTTGCCCCACTGCTTAAATCCCTCCACTGCTGCCCTATGTCCTTGAGGCTGGCCATGCTGACCACACTAACTGAGCTCCAGCTCTTCCATCTTCTAGACCCTGTCCCTCCCTGAGCCTCCTGGCCACATCAAGTCACTGTCCTTTGCTCTAGAAAGCTTTCCCTAACTGCCCCCCAGTTGAGTGTGATGCCCCACTAGATCCCCTCAAGACCCACTTTTTGTCTCTCATAGCATGCAGGGGGCATGGGGGCCTGTCTCCTTGGAGTGCTTTGAGGGTGGGGCCTATAGTGCTGTCTGCACTTAGGGCCAGCCTGGACTCAGCAGCTGGCAGGCTAGGCCTAGAACTCACCTGATGCGCCGCTCCTTCTCCTTGGCCCTCTTGGCCTGTTCGATCTTGACCTGAGGCACACGCTCCAGGTTCTCTAGCAGCTCATCCAGCTGGTGCTCGATGATTGTCAGCATCTGCACGGTGCCCAGGTTGGCCTCCTGCTGGGTGCTGACACAGTGCTGGTACACATCCAGCACCTTGCGGTTCAGGCTCTCTAGCAACTTATCCTGTGGAAGAGGAGGCTTCCAGCAGGGGGCTGGCAGGCTGAAACCCGCCCCAATACCAGTGCCTTTGGAGGTGGCCTGCTGACCTCCCAGTGTGGGGCTGCCTGCTTGGCACACAGTGGGGGCTCTGAGAACATGGGCTGAAACAGAACTTGGGGAAATGGCTTTTCTTAGCTAGAGCAGCCTATCCCTGTAGGCCCCCTGGAATCAGCCAGATCCCTGGTTCCAGCCCCTCCCCCCGCTGCCTCTGATGAGCCAACAGGGCCAGTCCCCTCCACCAGGAAGCCCTGCATTGATCTTGGCTCCCAACAGAGCCATCTCCTCTGAGCCTGTTCTAACACTTAGAAAGCAGGTAACAGGCTGGGCATGGTGGCTCATGCCTGTAATCCCAGCACTTTAGGAGGCTGAGGTGGGTGGATCACCTGAGGTCAGGAGTTCAAGACCAGCCTGGCCAACATAGTGAAACCTGGTTTCTACTAAAAATACAAAAATTAGCCAGGCGTGGTGGCACACACCTGTAATCCCAGCTACTCAGGAAGCTGAGGCAGGGGAATCGCTTGGACCCAGGAGGCAGAGGTTACAGTGAGCTGAGATTGCTCCATTGAACTCTAGCCTGGGCAACAGAGCAAGACTCCGTCTCAACAAAAAAAGAAAAGAAAACAGGTAACAGCCCCTCCACAGGGCTGTGTGAGGAGAGGAGCAGCAAGCAGGCAGCTCAGCCCAACCTGGGCACAGCTAGTGCCCATGGACTCTGGCTGTGTCAGGGGAGTGCTGTCTTGCCCATGGCTGCATCCCACACCCTTGGTCCAGTGCCTGGCATGCAGCTGGCGCTTGACAGTAGGAAGCCACCCCATGCCTAGGGTGGCCCAAATGTGCTGTCAGGTTGGGAGCAGGCTGAGCCCTTGGCCGATCCCTGGCTTCTGCTGCTCAGAACACCACTGGCTTTCTGTTCTCTCCTAATTCTCTCACCCTCTCGGCCTTGTTTGGGGACATCCCTCTTCCTCACCTTCAGGATCACCTTGCCAGGTGCAATATATGTGTTTAAGAAGCAGACAAATTTATTAAATAAAAGAATGAAGCAATGAATGAGGTATAGGGGCAACCAAGCTTACTGGCACGGGCATGGATTCATGTGGTGGCTCCTGGAGGCAGGCAGGACAAGGGCAGCTGCAGACCACTCACCTGGGCCTTGCCCTCCATCTTCTTAGGGGCCGTCAGGGTTCCTTCAGAGGGTGCCCAAGGGCTCCTCCTTCCCCTGGGCCTCTGGCCACCTCGATCCCCAGCCTACCTGTTGATCTCCCCTGTACTCGCCAAAGTGGAAGACTCGGGCTTTGAGCTCCAGCTCAGCTGCTGTGTCCTCCTCCTTGGTGATGGACATCATCATCGTGGTGACCCACTGCTTCAGCTGGTTGACCTCCCTGTCCCTGGAGGAGTGGAAAACAAGCAGGTAATCATTCACTCAGCATGGCCCTGGGTACATTGCTTCTCTGAGCCTGACCATCTATATAGTGCTTTGTCCCTACCAGCTGTCCTGAGGACTGAAGGATCATGGGTGCCAAGTCTCTGCATGTCCAGGGAGTCAAAAATGCTGGTAGAATGCAGGAGGAATTTAAAATATTTAACCATCAACATTAAAGAAAATAAACAGTTTTATTGGGGCGTAATTCACAGACAATAAAATTAACTATCATAGAATATGTAAGTCAGTATTTTTGATATATTCAAGGAGTTTACACAACCATTACCACAATCTAATTTTAGAACATTTTCATCACCCTGTGCCCATTAGCAGTCACTTCTTATTGTCCCCTCTAGCCCTTGGTCTTAAGCCACCATGAATCTATTTTGTGTCTACCCTGAACACTTCATGAAGATGGAATCATACAACATGTTTCCTTTGGACTGGCTACTTTCACCCAGCATATTTTCAAGTCCATCCATGTTTCAGCATGTGTCAGCACCTCGTTTCTTTCTATGGTTGAGTACTCTTCCATTGCATACATAGGCCACACTTCGTTGATTCATTCATCCCTTGATGGGCATTTGGGTTGTTTCTACCTTTTGGCTCTTGGGAATATTGCTGCTATGAAGATTCACGTACAGGTTTTTGTGAGGACACGTTAGCATTCTATATATCTAGTAGTAGAATTTCAACACTCACCTTTCAAGTTTAATAAACAGATGCACAAGGGACATGCTGCTCAGAGTTGGTCCTCAGACCAACCCTGGGCATCACCTGCAAGTGTGTCAGAAATAAAGTCTTAGGCCTTGACCCATGCCTGCTGAATCAGAAACTTTCTTTTAAGATTCCTGGGGGATTCAACTGCACATAAAGTCTGAGAAGCACTTCAATGTAGGAAAAGTTGTCTGGTTTCTTCAACAAATGGATGGCAAGGGGAAAAACAGAAAGGAAACCTATAGATTGAAAAGAATTTAAAGATACAACCAGAGGAATCAGCATCAGCAAGATGGTGGAATGGGGGTCCTCAGGATATTGGTATCTGCTTTTCCTTTCTTGTAATATCTTTGTCTAGTTTTGGTATTAGGGTCATACTGGCTTCATAGAATGGGTTAGGAAGTATTTCCTCTGCTCCTATCTTCTGAAAGGGATTGTAGAGAATTGGTGTAATTTCTTCCTTAGATGAAATTCTTCCTTTGTAGAATTCACCAGCAAACCCATCTGGGCCTGGAGATTTCCTTTTTGCCGGGCTATTAGTTATTGATTTAATTTCTTTAATGGATATAGGCCTACTCAGATTATCTATCTGTTTTATATATTTTTAAAACTGTATTTTGATTTTTTTCTGAGAAAAGATGGCTGAGTTCATAGAAGTTAAATACACATTGGCTGCAACTCCTCTGGAAACAGTGTGGATGCTCTTAGGGATGGCTTGGCTGGCCGAAGACCAGCTTTTGGATGTCACGTCCAGCATTCTGGTTTATGTTTGCATGCATGTGTTGGAGGAGGAACCTGTTTTCTTGCCAGATTATCTGGGAACCTGGGAGGCTGCCCACCTCTCCCAACTCATCTTCCTCTGTGTCTGGCATCTCCCAGCTTTCCAGGGCACATAGTCTTGCCTGAGGCTGGGAGTTTCATGTCATTTTGGGGACTCTTTACCACACTGCATCAACGGGACATGGGTGCTCGGGAGCCTGGCTCCCCCATGGAACACTTAAGTCTCAGCAGGCTCCCACCTCATGGCCTTTGCACCTGCTGTTCCCGCTGTGCCCAGCCTCTGTGTTACTGGCCTTCCTCCCACCCCTTGGGAAGTTTCCTGATACCTGGAAGCCTTCCCTGCCCCTCCCATCTGCTGTCACTCTCCATTTTAGCCCTCATTCTCATATAGCTTTATTTTCCTCCTAGAACATGCCAGTATCCACAAGTCACATCTTTGGACCTGTTTGTTGTGTCTTCTGCCATTAAAGGTCAACTGCACAAGGTCAGGGCCTTGCTTTATCCTTGCAGAGCTTAGACCTGGGCCTGACCCAGAATGGATGCATAGGCAGAGTGTGGGGAGTTAGTGAATTGGAGGATTCCCTGCTCTGGACATGCCTCACTGGTGCCCCAGGCTGACCCTGTCTGCTCAGCTCTCCTGGAGCCAGGTACCCTGCAGGGGACTGAGTGGCCACACCCAGCAGGAGGGACCATAACAGCCTCAGGTGGGGTCCAGGTGAGAGCTGGGCAGCTACCAGACTTTTCCTGCTGCCTCTCTGGCTGGAATTGGGAGGCTGGGATTTTCCCAAGGTTCTAGCCACTTTGCTATGCTGGAAAAGCTGTGTTTTAGGCCTGTCCCCAGAGGCCCTAATCCTGGGTGGCCACATGGCCCTTCACCCATCCCTGCCTGTCTCAGTCCCACCTGACCCCAGCCTTCAGGATGGCACTGACCACACCCAAGTCCTCCTGCTCAGGGCTGCAGCCATTCCTGTCCCTGTTATGCTGCTTAGCAACAGCTGGGTACACACTTCACAGCAGCCCACAGGTGGCTTGGCCTTCCCCAGTTCTGTGCCATGAACACCCACTCAGTGGTCTGTGAAAGATTATGAAGCAGCAGCAGCTTCCAGGCCTTTCTGAGCAAATGACTGCTTTGGGCGCCTGTGAGAAGTATGTTAGTGCTGCCAGAAACTAGGGGGTCAGGGTCCCTGTGGACCTCCCGCCACCCCAAGGGCCTCTCAGGAGCTTGGTAGCAGCAGAAGGCACCTAGGGTGTGAGGTCCTTGGAGAGGCCTGGCTGTAGCCATGGGCTGCTCCAGCGTGGGCATGGGCACCTGGGCACTGCCCACTTCCAGGTCTGCCACCCTCTCTTCAGGAGTCAGCCCACAAATGGACAGAGCTTTTCAGGCAACCTGGGCAAGGCCAGGGCCATGAACAGGGATGGGGGCTATACCCCAGCTCAGCTCTAGTGCTGGGGGGTGGGGGTTCCAGGATGAGCATAGCGGGGACCACCTGCACCTACATGCGGATCTGGGTATGTTTCAGGGTGTGGCTCAGCTCGTCCAGTGTCTCCTCCATCTCCTGCCTGTTCTGGATCAGCGACAGGTTCTGCTCCTCCAGCTCTCTGAAGACATCCAGGAGCTGCTGGGGCTCCGTGAAGTACAGCTGTGGCTCCTGCAACCCACAGGTGTTGGCAGGACCTGTCCAGGGACAGCGCCAGAAGGGGAGGGGTGGGGACAGAACAAGGGAGGGCCGGCTTCCGAATTCCAACCCAGAACTGGGCCATTCACCTCCCCATCGCTGTCGGTGTCCTCCTGCAAGGTGGGGACGGGAGAGTTCGACCTGGGAAGAGATAGCAGGGTCAGGACTCTGGGACCAGCCTGAGCAGGCAGGAGCTGGGGGAGAGGGCACAGAGGTCTTGAAGGCGTTGGTGGCATCCCCATCCCTCCTCTCCCAGCTGCCCACAAGTTGCCCAGAGGGTGGCACCAGCTTCCTCACAGTCCCCAGCTGCCACACTGTAGCCAGGGGATAGTTTCAATCCACTCATTTTCCCAGGGCCCTAGCCATTTTGCTATGCGAGACAAACCATGTTCCAGACCTGTCCTCAGAGGCCCCATTCCTGGGCCTCCCAGCACTCACCTTGATTCCCCTGTCCCGGCCCCTCTGTCCTGTCTGGTCAGGCCACCTCTCTCTAGGTGTTGCCCTACTTCAGGCCTCTGCACTTGCAGCCATGGGCTGCCCCTCCTGCTTCACACATTGTTTTCTGAGCGCCACCTGTGAGGCCTTTCCTGTCCACTTCCTCCATCTGAGATCCGTCTTGGCCCCTGTCCTGGGGTTCCCACCCACAACCATCGAAGGACTCTCAGGGCTGCCTCCAGGTGACCCCGAGTGCCCAGGGGCAAGATATGTCCTGGACTAGTGGAGAGGGGCTGGGAACAAGATGTGTGAGCTTTAAGCGCTTGTATGGGCCCCAGAAGGCCCCACCATATGGTGGCCTCACCTCCATCTACTTCCAAACCTGCTCTCCCAGGCTGCTCCAGCCTAGGCCTCACCTAGGATCTGGTTGCTGGATGAGACTGGGGGCTGGGTTGGCTCACCTCAGGGACCTGGCCTTGGGCTTGGAGATGCCAGGCCTTGACCCTTGAGAAGCAGAGAGGCATCAGTGCAAGGTCCTATGGGACTCTGATGGCGGATCCAGGAGGGCTTCCCAGGAGAGGCTGTGATAACAACTATAGCACTCGCCAGGCCACACCTCACACTGCACATCAATGCCCATTTCACAGATGAAGGAGCTGGCCTCCTGCAAGGCACTGCTGGCCCATACAATTCCTTTCTGAGAATCCACCCTCCAGATGAATATAGCCTGGGTCAGGGAGCCTGGCTTGGCAGTTGGTGGGGGTGGGCTGGACTTCAGCCCCCATGTGCCCTCTTGGCTAAGTGAGTGCCTTTTACAGCTCACAACCTGCCCAGCTGTATTCAGTGGCCCTGGTCACCTGACTAATAGAGGGGCCAGGATTGAAACCCAGGACAGTGTGATCCCCCACTCTGTGCTCAAGTCTCCCAAGTCAGGGCCTGTCTGGTGGGGGGCGCTCCACGGCTGAAGGGACCTGAGGCAGAGCGGGCTGCACCTCAACGCAGAACTGGAAATGCCCCTCACCAGCAGGACATCACAGAGGGCAGCGGAAACACCAGCCTGTGTGGCTGGGCAGTGTGGCCTAGTGGTGGCTGGTCTTCCCCACAAGGCATGGCTGCACTGGGCAGAGAGGAAAGCCAGCCTGGGTCCTCCTCCAACTGGAGAAGCATCAATTTGGGCCACAGGAGGCTGACGTTGGGGCCACCCATCTGGGTCTGGAGTGCAGGAACAGGCAGTTGTGGAGAGGAGAAGACAGAAGGTGGACGGCAGGAAGGCCGAGCAGCAGAAAAAGGCCCCAAGGAGGAGGGTAGGTCGCCACAGACACAGGGCCAGGGCAGGGAGGTAGGTAGCAGCCGCTAGCCCTACAGCACCCACTTTTCTCCATCCCCACTGTTGCCACCCTTATCCAAGCCAATAAACTATCAGCTTCCAGAAGAAAACAGGAAATGTGGAGCACAGATCCAAGATGGTTGATAGGAGCAGTTCAGGATTGCAGCTCCCAGCGAAAGCATGGAGGGTGACTGGATGCCGCATTTCCAGACAGATTTTTATTGCCCACAGACCAGGAGATTTACAGGTGGAGCCCCATGGGTCGCCAGTGTGGCTGTTTTTGCCAGCGTGGCAGGTCTCCACACAAAACACACAGGTCTGGGTGCCGTTTTAGCTGGTGATTGGAGCTCCTGGGAGACAGAGTCTCCCACTCAACAGATAAAAAGGGGACTGAAACAGGGAGCCAGGCCAGGAGATTCCCAGTCAAAAAAGCACCACGAATCTCTGTGCGACTGTTTCAGTGGGTCACCACACGGGAAATCACACAGGTCCCGGTGCCTTCTCAACAGGTGACTGGAACACCTGGGAGACAGAGTCGCCTATTCAACTGAAAAAAAAAAGGGGGGGTCTGAGGCTGGGAGCCAGATGATCAGGATTGGTTGGTCCTACCCCCACAAAAAAACAGCAATCTGAAATGCTCTGGATTGAGAGTTTCACAGCAAACACAACTGAACCCGGACAGTCCAGCTCTGTGGGGGAGGGGTGTCCGCCATTACCGAGGCAGTCCACCACTATGGAGGTAGTGTGCCATTGCTGAGGCAGCCTGCCATTGCCAAGGTGTCCCACCATTACAGTAAGAGTCCACCATTACAGAGGTGGGCCGCCATCGCTGTGGCACTTCTAACTATACCTATATAAACAGTATTGTAGGAAAGTTCACACAGCAGCTGGGCAGAGCCCACAGCAGCTGAGAAAAGCCTCTGCAGGCAGGCTGTGACTAGGCTGCCTCCTCGCTGGGTAGGGCAGCCCTGAAAAAAGGCAGCAGCATGACAGAAACATAAATAAAGCCCTAACTCCCTGGGACAGAGCACCTGGGGAGGGGGGAGATGTTTATGAGTTCTGCTTCAGCAGACTTAAACCTACCTGCCCAGAAGCTCTAAATGAACAATGGAGCTCACAGCTCAGGACATGAGCTCCTATAAAGGACAGACTGTCTCCTCAAGCAGCTCCGTGACCCCCATATATCCAGAGTCACCTCATAAAGGAGAGCTCAGACTGACATATGGTGGGTATACTTCTGGGGCAAAGATAGCAGAAGAAGAAACTCACAGCAACCATTACTGTTCTGCAGACACTGCAGGTGATCCCCAGGCAAGCAGGGCCTGGAGTGGACCTCAGCAGTCCTACAGCAGAGGGGCCTGACTGTTAGAAGGAAAACTAAGTAACAGAAAGAAATAACTTCATCATCAACAAACTGGACAGCCACTCAGAGACCCAATCTGAAAGTCAACAACTACAAAGACAACAGGTGGATAATCAACAAAGATGGGAAGAAACCCATGCAAAAGGAATGAAAATACCCAAAACCAGAATACCTCTCCTACAAGGAATCACAACTCCTCACCAGCAAGGGAACAAGGCTGGATGGAGAATGAGTGTGACAAATGGACAGAAACAGGCTTCAGAAGGCAGGTAATAAGAAACTTCTCTGAGCTAAAGGAACATGTTCTAACCCAATGCAAAGAAACTATGAACCTTAAAAAAAGGTTTGACGAAATCCTAAGGAGAATAAACAACTTAGAGAGGAATATACATGAACTGATGGAGCTGAAAAACACAACACAAGAACTTCGTGAAGCATACACAAGTTTCAGCAGCTGAATTGACCAAGCAGAAGAAAAGATATCAGAGGTTGAAGATCAACTCAATGAAATAAAATGAGAAGGCAAGATTGGAGAATAAAGGGTAAAAAGGAATGAACAAAGTCTCCAAGAAATGTGGGACTATGTGAAAAGACCTAATCTGTGTTTGATAGGTGTACCTGAATGTGACGGAGAGAATGAATCCAAGCTGGAAAATACTCTTGAGGATATCACCCAGGAAGACTTCTCCAACCTAGCAAGGCAGGCCGATATTCAAGTCCACGAAATATAGAGACCACCACAAAAATATTCCTCAAGAAGAGCAACCCCAAGACACATAATCCTCAGATTCACCAGGGTTGAAACGAAGGAGAAAATGCTAAGGGCAGCCAGAGAGAAAGGTCGGGTTACCCACAAAGGGAAGCCCAACAGACTCACAGCAGATCTCTCAGCAGAAACCCTACAAGCCAGAAGAGAGTATTCAACATCCTAAAAGAAAAGAACTTTCAACCCGGAATTTGATACCCAGCCAAACTAAGCTTCAAAAATGAAGGGAAAATAAAATACTTTGCGAACAAGCAAATACTCAGAGATTTCATCACCACCAGGCCTGCTTTACAAGAGCTCCTGAAGGAAGCACTAAACATATAAAGGAACAACCAGTGCCAGCCATTCTAAAAACATACCAAATGCTAAAGAGCATTGATACAATGAAGAAACTGCATGAACTAATGGGCAAAACAGTCAGCTAGAATCAAAATGGCAGGATCAAATTCATATATAACAACATTAACCCAAAATGTAAATAGGCTAAACACCCAAAGAAAAGACACAGACTGGCAAATTGGATAAAAAGCTAAAACCCATTGGTGTGCTGTATTCAGGAAACCCATCTCACATGCAAGGATACACAAAGGCTGTATGGAGAAAGATTTACCAAGCAAGTGAAGAGCAAAAAAAAAGCAGGAGTTGCAATTTTTGTCTCTGATAAAACAGACTTTAAACCAACAAAGATCAAAAGAGACAGAGGGATCCAAGATGGCCAATTAGGAGCAGCTCAGGATTGCAGCTCCCAGTGAAAGTGCAGAGAGTGAGTGGATGCTGCATTTCCAGACAGATTTTTACCGTGCACAGACCAGTAGATTCCCAGGCAGAGGAGCCCCACAGGTTGCCATTGCGGCTGGTTTGGACAGCTTGGCTGTTTTCGCCGACGCGGCTGTTTTCGCCGACGCGGCTGTTTTGCCGATGCCCCAGCGTGGTGGTTCTCCGTACAAAATACATGGGTTCTGGTGCCATTTTAGCTGGCGATTGGAGCTCTGGGAAGGCAGAGTCACCCATTCATCTGATTTAAAAAGGGAACTGAAATAGGGAGCCAGGCCAGGAGATTCCCAGGTAAAGCGCCACAAATTTCAGTGTCACTGTTTCAGCCAGAGCAGTGCATCGCGACATGGGAAATCACATGGATCCCAGAGCCTTTTCAACAGGGTACTGTAACACCTGGGAGACAGTCGACCATTCAACTAAAAAAAAAAAAAAAAAGGCTCTAAGGCAGGGAGCCAGGTGATCAAGCTTGGCTG